TCGCCACTCACACCACTGGTCCTGTAGGGCTCATCCGCCCTGGATTCCCTGGATTTCCAGTTCCTATCTGTACCAGTGTACATCCTCCATACAGATTTTTTCAACTCATCCGTTGCAGTATCTTTAATGATCCACCACATATCGCAAGTCCTCCTCATTCTGATTCTGTTTCCATTCCTATTTTCCTAACCCTCTTGATTTTCTTCTTAGGTAAATGCTGCCCTTTTCATCTTACGTGGTTGATTATTTTAAAATAGTTGTGTTCAGTTCCAGACCTGAAGGGTCACTTAAGAGTCACAGGCTGTGGGTTCTAACAGCTCTATCTGATCAGTAAGCCTTGCCTCTTTCATGAGGTGGGGTTTTGTTGCACAATTTTCTCCCACACTGTCCAGGACTTTCTAATGCAACACTTCTCAGGGCAGCTGCTGGTGGTAGCCAGGCACCATCTAGTTCTTCTGGTTTTAGGGTCATGGCTAATGTTTGCATGGTCCTTTAGTCCATTTGAATACATGTTTCCACGTGTCTTTCAATTTTCATCATTCTTCTAGCTAAGTAACACAAATAGGTGCACCTTAGCTAGTTGCTGAATAAATGGCATAGGGAGGCAGGAGCAGATTTGACCTCCTCTGGTTTTCCTGTTGCCAGGAGGCAGAGGTCAGACGTGTATCCACCCTTCATTTTACTTAACTTAGTCTGACACCAGCCATTACTCCCACAGCCCTCCACTTCTGTTCTGGGTTCACGAACCATTACAATGCCACTCAGAACTCCCAGACAATACCCACAGGGAAGGGGGTTTATTAGAGAAGTTACCATGTTACCACAATTCAAGATCAGGAAACATTTAAGGATACAGTCATTGTTCCACAGCAAAAACCTCTCCTCAAGATGAGCCAGTCAGGGTGCAGGGTAGCAACGATGAAACATATAACTTTCCTCTAGTTCTTAAATGCTTCCTTCCTCTCATTATCATGATCCCAATTCTACCTTACAAACCTGGCTAGACCAGAGGATGTACATTGGTACAGATAGCAACTTGTGAAACACAGGGAACCCAGGACAGATGACCCCTTCAGGACCAGTGATGAGAGTGGCGATGCCTGGAGGGTGGAGGGAATGTAGGGCGGAAAGGGGGAACCGATTACAAGAATCTACGTATGGCCTTCTCCCTGGGGGATGGACAGCAGAGAAGGGGTGTGTGTGAGATGTCGGACAGTGTAACATGTGACAAAATAATGATAATTTATGAATTATGAAGGGTTCATGAGGGAGGGGGGATTGGGGAGGGAGGGGGAAAATGAGGAGCCGATATTAAGGGCTCAAGTAGAAGGCAAATGTTTTGAGAATGATGATGGCAACAAATGTACATATGTGTTTGACACAATGGATGTACGTATGGATTGTGATGGGAATTGTACGAGCCCCCAATAAAATGATTAAAACAAAACAAAAAAACCTCTCCTCAGCAGTAGCCCTCCAGTTCTCATCCTCCCTGCTATATTGTCCCTTGATCAGGAAGCCCATCTACTGCTCTGCTTCAAAGTCCCATCATCTCTACACAGCTCCTCGTTTCTTACTCATGGTCTCCTTGCCTTGGCCTCTGGTCTCCATCAGGCTCCTCTGCTCTGTATCACGGTCTCCATGCCAGTCTCTGGTGCCTCTGCCACATCTGATAGAGATCTTGAGCATACTCTACAGGTGGTTCTTTTGATGGTCTTAGGAATTCTGTGTTTTCCAGATGGCTTATACAGAGGAATGGATTTGATGGAAGTGTGGTTTTTGTCTTTCAGCAGACCATACCCTCAAGGAAACAGTAGTGGCTTGGTTTATACCCTCTACTAGGGTAGAGACTTAATCCCACCTTAATCCTGCTCATCAATGTAGCAGATAACTTTCTCTAAATGTATTATAACCACAGGTATAAACCAAACTCGCCACCAATG